GCGCCGTCATAGCCACTAAACTAATTCGGATCCGATCTTGTCTGCCCGCCACCGCATTGTGTACATAACGCAGCAAGCATGGAAGAAGGGGTTTGCAAGCGATTCATTGGGCGCATTAAAGTTGGGTTGACACACATCCTCACGGACGACAGTGGGTCTGGATCGCAAGTCCAGGCCCAGTAGCTCGTCCATCTCCGTGCCGAAGCGGGTGCGAGCATGTGGACTGTTGACGATCGACAAAGTTTATTGCAGACCTAGGCTTAGGATGTCCGTGCGGAAGCGGAGGCGTTCATGCGGGCTGCTGCCAGTCGAGAAAGTCAAAGTTGCCCAGCTCCTCGTCCTCGGGCTCGAGATGGATGGGGATGCCATTCTCGTCGAGCAGTAGCGCGAACCGCATACGACCGTCATGTCTTGCGCCTCCCCCTTGCTCGTTCCCCTGAGCCTGCTCTTGCTGCACTCCATCTTGTGCCTGTGGAGCTTGATCACCGAGTAAGCCGTCAAAGAGGCGGTGGTAGCACTCGCGTCCGGGCGTATTGAAGTGCTGGTACGGATTCTGGGCTGAAATCGCCTTGCCGCACAGATAGCAGTAGTGCGTCTGACACGACTTGCACGTCATATGGTTGCATCCGTACGACTTTTCAATCGCAATCCCGCATGTCGGACACGGGGTGGTGTAGTTGCTGAGCCACTGCTGCGTCTGCTGCTCTTCTTCGTACTTGCGAACCATGGTCTCGAGCGTCTTGCGACCGAACTTTTGCTCCATGCGCGCGCGGTCGGGCGACGAGTGCGACAGCGAAAGGTAGCGCCGAATGAGTTCGGACTGAAACGAGACGGGGCACGAAGTCGGACCGTGCCATGAGCGCGAACACCACGCACAGAATGCAAAGCCACACGACAAACACTCGCGAAAGCGTTCCCAGTGACCCGAATTCTCGTCCGACGACAAACGCACCACCGCAGCTTGACAGTTGGAGCGCGGACAGTAGGATACGGACGGATCCGCCTCCATCTTGGCCTTGACCGTGAGCTCGTCCAGACGCTGGAGACGCGCTGCGCCAAGAACATCCGCAAGCTCGGAACGTGTCAGCTGCCCCACAACGACGGTTGTGTCGGCGGAAGACGGAGAGTGGCTCGGCTTGGTGAGACTCGACTTTTGCTGCTTGGACGCCGGTTTGACGATGAGGTTTCCTTCCTGGTCGACAAGATTCTGCTTTTCACGCTGGCTCCACAGCGCGACGCATTCGGGATCTGGGCAGCGTTTTGCCTGGCGGTGAAAGCCGTCGTCGACGAGGCTGGTAAGGTAGCCTGCGAGGCACTCGGAGCAAAAGACGTGCGAGCAGCCTGAAAGCCGGGTGCACGCTCGGCCCTTGCGCGTCTCGAGGCAGATGGCGCAGTCGAAGGAAGAGGCGTCAAAGGCAGTGCGTGTGCAGAGGCGCGAGTGCGCCACGAGCTGTGATGCGAGACATGACGGAGCTTCTGGCGTCGGAAGAAACTCTCGAAAGTGCAATTTCACTGTATCCGAGTCGGTCTCTGTGTCGGATTCGGCGGTATTGGGAGGACTTCGCAGGAATAATGGTGCGGAGGAAGGGGATGCATCTTCAAGAAGCTGCGACCAGAGACTTTCGGCTAGAAAGGTCGCCCAGATGTAGAGCACTTCGATGCCGCTGGACTCGTGGTACTGCTCGTCTAGCTGGCCAAGAATCCACTCGCGTGCCTGTTTTTCGCTTGCATCGTCGGGAAGCCATGGGGCGGCAATGTGCTTGATGATGGGTGGTTGGTGGGAGGGGTAGGTAGGCGGAAGCTCGACTCGCATGGTTATGGGGGCGAGGTGGGTGATGGGCGGAAGGATGCGTGACGAACGGAGTACGGGCTGCGGTGGCGCCGATCTTTTGATAATATCCGGCTTTAGAGTGAGACGTTCGAGCATGTGCGATGCTTCGTCTTGCTTATCTGTGACGTCAGGACGCGGTTGAAAGGTGCTTGCTGTGGCACTGAGGTGGCCGTTGCTGCGGCCCTTGGGCGTGTTGGAGCGAGCTTTTGGCGTCTCATCTGCTTCGATGGTGGAAGAAGATGGCGGTATTTGTGAAGCTTCGCTATGCTGGACATACGTATGCACGGCTATACGGGTCGGCTCGGGGAGGGTGACCGGGAGATAAAAGTCGAGCACAGGATGAGGCTCTTTCTGGAAGAGCTTGACGCTAGGCTGGTCTGGATGGCCATCGTTCTGGTCTGTCCCGCTGTGGTCGGCATTGGCGAAGATGGACTCTAGGGCGATGATCTCGTCGTCCTGCCTCTGGCGGCAATCCTCGAGTTCGGCCTGGTCACCGTCCATATTGTCCGTGTCGGGCGAGGTAAAGCGCCAGCAGTGCTATAATGATGAAGGCATGGGAAGTGAGATTGCTGCTCTGCAACTGCGGATAGTCTGTGGTGATGGGAAGAAGAAGGAAAGCGTTGCCACCTGTCGGTCTAAGTAGCCGGCGTTGCACAACTCAGCAGCACCCGAAGTGGAGGTTTTCTTCCGCAAAGTGATTTGGTGATTTTGCCAAAAAAGGGTCCACTCGAAGCAGCCAAAAAAGCGGTGACCAACACCAAAAATTCGTCGTCGTCGTCGATTGTATCCTTCCGCACCACACCATCTTGCGCACTTCCGACGCTGCGCGGTCGCACTCGTCACAATGGTGCGCTTCAAGACTCGCTGGCTGCTGCTTTCCATCGACGACAAGCCGCTAGCCTGCACTTCACCCTTTGGCTCGATGATCGACAAGCCGGATAGTGAATCCACATCCAGCTCGACGGCTGCGCTCTATTCGGCCGCACGACAACCGGCGTCGGCGCTTGGGCCTTCTCTTACGCCCCAACTTATCACACGGCTGCTACGTGCCTCGCTGGTGTACAACTTTGGCGATGTTGCTTCGGGTGCGTTTGGCGGCGTGCTGACGTGCAAGTACTACAGCCCTCACACGGGGACCGCCATCGTACGCTGTTCGCGCGACGCAGCCAGGCTCGTGTGGGCATCTGCAACGCTGCTTTCCAGCCCGATCGAAGCCGAAGTGGGAACGAGCACCGACAAACTGCCAAGTCTTAGGATGAGGGTGGTGCATTGCGGAGGTACGATCAAAAAGGTGCAGAACAAGGCGATCGAGCTCGACACCAAACTCATCCTGCGGCTTCGTGCCAGGCAGAAGAAGCTCGCTACCAACGCTGCCAACGGACAGAAGAAGCAAGATGTGAAAACAACCGTTGTGCAAGAGGTACAGCCGCAAGTAGTCAAACTCGCACCCGTGCTCGGCGACGACGAGGACCTCGGAGAAGCTCTCGATGCCAACGCTGCCGAACCTCCGACGACAAAGTTAGAGTTGCCCGTCCACCCTACTGCCCCGGCAAAAGCGAATCAGGACTCCAAAAGCGATGCCGAAACACAAGCGTTGATTGCGCGCTCGCGAAAGGAGATTAACTCCATCTCTCACTAGTCCCTCTCACCAGTCGTCGCAGCATCGCCCTTTGCAATATACCCAGCACACATTCGCTATTGACAGACACCTTGTATCATCGCTTGATCGCGAGTTCTCGCATTGATGCCAGGCGGGATGCATTGAGGTCGTTGATGCAGTGGCCGTCTATGATGTGCCCAAAAAAAAAGAAAAAAAAAGTGTGGGAAATTTCTCCGAATCCGGGAATTGAACCCGG